TACCTGCCCAGTATATCAAAATTTGATAGAAATAGGTAAAATTTAATCAAAATGAAATTAAATTTTGTACCATTTTGATTTAAAAAAAAATTGGTACGTACCAACGGTATCCACTAATACAGTACGGAATTGTCAACAGTGATTCCTGGTAGAGCCTAAGGCCAATTGGTCTTTAATTTGATTGGACGAAATATTTTTTCTTTTCGAGTTTTTCTAGTGTACAGAGCAATTGCACCAGTATGGCATTATGTACAGTGCTTTCTGATTCTTCAGGTGAATCAATCATCACTGATGAAAATGAAGGATTTTAATCTAAATTTTTACACAAAGAAAAGGGCACAACGACAGCATATAAAAGAGATGATGGTTTTGAAATTCGAACTCCTTTCTGACATTTCGGAAATTATTCTGTTACTCCCATTTTTCCTCTCCCGGTTTAAGAATCTGAAATGCGCAGAGCAAAGTTGTATCCAACCTCATCATTGCCCCTGCATTGTTGAACTCTCCACAGTAGTTTGGTGCAGAAAATATCGTAACCATCTGCCTGTCCGTCAAGAGTTCATAACCATCTTCAACAACCTAGCAAAAATTTTCAGCAGAAAGACCAGTTTAAGCCCGATGCACAAATCAAGAAATTTCATTTTTTATGAGGAAGATGAGGAAGACCTGATGAGCACGACAAATGAGATCAAGATCATGTTTTTTCAAGAATTCAGCTACTTTGTCTGTTCCAAAGATGAAAGACACGCCCCTATCATTCTCATCCCACCCTTTGATGTCTTCGTCGGGATCGGCCCAAAGGAGGTAACACAAGAGGCCTTGGTGTGGCACATCTTTTGGCCTTTCTATAGCTCTAATCTGGTCCAAGCTCTGCATTTCTGGTGAAAGTCCTCCATGCATGCAGAGTAGTTTGTCATCAACCACTGCAGCCACTGGCAAGCAGTTGAAGCAATCAGCGAAAATCATCCGAAGTCGGACACTGAAACGACGCTTGCACTCATCATAAAATCCATAGATTCTGTTGATAGAAGCGCATTCATGGTTCCCTTGGAGAAGGAAAAAGTTATTCGGGAACTTTGATCTTGTAAGCAAGAAGCAGGCATATAGTCTCTAAGCTTTGCTTTCCTCTGTCCACATAGTCTCCAAGAAACAGGTAATTTGCATTTGGTGGGAATTTACCATACTCAAACAGGCGCAAAAGGTCTGGATATTGGACATGTATATCGCCTGCAAACACAAAATTGACGCATCTAACAGTTGAGTAGGATAAAAATGTTCACATCAAACTAACACACTGACATTTCTATATAATTTTCCCCTTACCTACAAATGTAGGAGGACAGACCACACAGCCATGGTGATGGAATGCAGGAATTAATATCTGATTTTTGATTTCTTTTAATGCCTTAAATTATGAGATAATATATTAAAATTCACAAACCCTTCTAGGTGCCAACCCCACAAAAATTTACATTAAAAAGGGAAATTTTAAAATGATGTAAATTTGCCCTTAGAAATTCATTGAAAAATACAGGCATAAATTTAAATCCAAAAAAATTCGTTCATAAAATGAGAAGTTTTAAATCTTGAAACCCATTATAAGGCACTAAAAAGTCTAAAATGTCTCGACTTACAAGAACTTTAGACTTTTAAGTTGGAAAATAGGAGTTTGGACATGAGAGAGGTGATATGGAAATTGGGAAAGCAGAAGGTTATCCGAGGTCATTTGCATTATGCAGGTTATTTTGAAAATAATTTGATGAAAGACAAAAGAAAGAAACGGGAATACCACAGATGTTGATGGAAGCTACTAATTCAAGGAGAATAGGTTGGCTCAAGAAGACTTGCTTGGCACTGATGCAAAGCTGTCTGATTTCATATTCATGTAGCTGAATCCTCTTCCCTTCGTTATTCTTCCAGTCCAGCAATCTCTCTATCAGCACATCCAACCCTTCCATCACCAAAACTCCAAAACAAAACACAACCCCACATCAATGCCACAAACCCCACCTTCCCCTGCACCTCTAAATTCACTCTTGTTGCCTTCTCTTCTTCTGATGATGATAATTTCCTTAAAATTTACTTACCCATTTTCAGCATTCACAAATCTGATATCTGGTGGTGGTTACCCATTTTCAGCGTTCACAAAATCTGATCTCTTGTGGTGGAAAAACGGCATTTGTTACTCCTAACTCCAATCTAGTTATCTAATGTCATGTGGGTAGGGGAAAAAAAGGGAAAGGTTTGAAGGAAAGATGAAATGCAAGGAACAGAAGGTTTGGAAAGAAGGAAAACGCAGGAGAATCGAAGGGGTCGGAGATAAAATTGGAATTGGAAGGAGAGTGAATGTGAGAGATTGTTAGTTTGACTTTGGATTTGTATGGTTTGGAGGTAAACTTTATGGTTTTGCCAATTAAAGCTTAAACTTTTTGGATTGATTCTCAACACATTCCGATTTATATGCTGCACTTTCCTGACTCGTCTCCCATCTTTCAATTATCCTTAATAAAAATCTCGAATTTTTCATGGATAATTTGGATTCTAGAGGATTTAATATGACTTTTCATATTTCTAAAAGTCATCATATATTCTAGAGGATTTATGCAATCCAAACCATATAGATGTTTTATGCAATCCAAACCATCTCATATTCTTTTAAACCGTACAAAATTAATAATCAAACGAGAGAAGACTCTTCTTTTTTTATGATCTTGGTTGATCATGGTTTTGCAGTCCAGCATAAGCAGCCAGACCGCATAAAGAAGCCATAACTAAAAATTTATGATTACAGAAAGGGTTAATTAATTAGTAAATTCGTGTAGTATTGTTGTTGTCATTGTTTTTGTTTTTATATTTTTATTTTTGACCAGCAATACTATATAAGGTAACTAATAAAAGAAACCAAAATTAAAAATATTTTGGATTACTAGATATAATATTAGTTGCCAAAAATAAAAGAAATAAAAATGATGCCCTGTAAGTCAAGCAGTGTTGCTAGGGTCTCCTTTGAGCCTCAGACTAACGGAATTGCGGGTAGACAGCTTTGCTGATTTTTTTTATGCTATGGCTAGTGTTTCGCGGAAAGAGCAACTTGAGCTATTTTACGTTTTGAGCTGGAGGTTACGGTGCTGCAGCAATGAAGCGATCTGGAATAATAAAAGAGTGGAGCCTCGATAGATAATAAACAGTGCTGTATTCTATCTACAGGATTACAACAAAGCTCTTTTATCTAGAGGGCGAAGAAGATCAAGTGTACAGAAACTAAGTGAAACTAAGTGAAATCCACCGGATGAGGGAGTGATTAAGATTAATGTGGATGGGGTTGTTTTTGAACAGCAAAGAATGTTTGGCTCGGGGCCGTGGCACGTAATTCATTGAGTGATGTACTGGCTGCCATAACATCCAAGGAGAATACGATGCTGTCGGCTGAGGAGAGTGAAGCATGTAGCCTGGGGAAGGCTTTACAATGGGCTAAGGACCTTATGTTTGACAAAATTGTCATTGAAGTTGACTGTGCAAGCATAGTCACGATAATTAACAGTGGCACTCAATCCTTGAATTCCAGTCTTGGCACTATCCTCTTGGACTGCCATAACCTTATGGCTTCTTTTACCACCTGTCGATTGCAACAGATCCGCCACAGTGGGAATTCAGTAACACATGAGCTTGCAAGTAGGGCACTCCAAGCTGAGGATGATCAGATTTGGATAGGTGTCATACCTGATTTTATTGCACACCATGTAACAGGAGACAAACCAAACTCAATAGCTTGTAATATCCCTGTTTGCTTATTTTGCTTATTATTATGAATAATATATGCGTACGTTTTATATAAAAAATGTTGGTAGAAAGTTCAACCCCATGTGAGCACATGGACTTAATTTCTATGTGGTGAATGTGGTGAAATTTCTTCACCAACCTAGCTAGTTGTGGGCTAGCATTTGCTTTGTTGAAATCATGCAAAATTGCATGTTGACCCATTTAATGGGCAAAGAAAAATGGTGCATGGGTAGTTGGATTTTTCACTATAAATACCTATGCATGCAAAAGCAATGGGCAAGCAAGAGTGAGAGCAAGCAAGAGAAGAGCTAAGTCAGTGGGTGCTATTCTGAGAAAAAGAAAGAGAGAAATTGTGAGAAATTCTTGTATAGATTAAGAGAGAATATTAGAGAGAATTTAAGAGTTTTTATATATTGAAGTTAGGGATTGAGAGCTTTTTAAGTGAAAAAGCTTCTTAAGTGAAAAAGCTTCTAAATTATTATACTTTTTTTTAATAATGAATTTATTTCTCTCTTTTTTATGGACATAAACTTGTTGAGAAGTATACAAGTTAAATCACGTTAAATTGTTGTCTTGATTTCTTTATCGTTTCCGTTTATGTGAGAATGTCGTGTTCAAAATTCCCAAAAAAAAAAATAAATAAATAAAAATAAAAACAAAAAACAATGATGTTACTAATCAAGTCTCAAAATTTGATACTTTAGTTAAAAATAGTGGAGTTAGAAATTTATGTTAGAGAAGCAATTTTTTTTTTTTTTTTTAAACATTGGGGAATTTAGGAGATGGAGAATAGTTTTTCAAGGTATTGGTGAGAGTCATATTTATAACCAATTAAAGTTAAATACTTAAGGATTGGAGATGAACCACTGGAATCCAAAGGACTGGTTTGTTAGAGAATCAAATTTAAAGATAAAATAATAAATTATATTGAGGATTTTCAATTTGAATCAGTAAATTTTTCTTGGCAATATGAGCGGAAAATCAGTTCTGATTTCTTAATGCAGGCTCTTGGCTGGTTATAAACACGACTCCAAAATCTAGCTCGTCGTTGATTGCCATGGAATACTTTCTTTACGACAGTACCTATACCATTGATACCAAGTCAAAGCCAAGATCATAAACTTCAAATCCAAAGCAATATTAAAATGCTAGTAACCGATTATTTAAATAATTTAGTAATAATCATTTTCTACTAAAAGTAAAAGTTTTTGAATTTTAATTGCATGGTATATGGGTGAAGTAAATTAAAAAAAAAAATTACCTCTCATCATACAACTCAATATTAAAAAAAAAATTAAAATGCTATTATATAATTTGAAAAGGGAAAATAATTAAAATCAAAAGGTGAGAGAACCTGACGAAGATGCGAGAAAGGGGTGTCATTTTCCTTCAAGCGCTTCTCTTCATATTCATTCACAATCCATATGCCGAGCAAAGTGGCAGTTAGACTTGGTACATTTAATAGCTAGATCTTTACAAGGCTCAGCACATTTATCACATTTGGGGTAGGGATATTTCTCACATTGGAAAAATATGAGAGGGTGTGGATGATAAATATCGCAATATGTGTGTAGAAGCTCCCACGCTTAAGAAATGGGTATTCTCCAAGAACACATTCGGGATGAGCATCAAAGTCGTACTCGCACTCATCACAATGATAAAACCAATGCTGTGGATCTCTCCCATCTTCACAGATCCAACAGATATGTTGAATAGGATCGTCGTCCTTGTTAGGATCTTCATGAGTGAGCTTCAGAGGGTGTTCATCAAACTTATGTTGAACTCTAAGAGGTCGTGTAAGAAATCTACAGCACAAGAAGAAATTGCAACCCTCTTCCCTACATCTGTATTGAACATCACAACAACCTTCACCCCAGGCACTACAATACCGTACCCATTATAATGATCCAGCAGCTTCAGAGCATAATGTTAACTGGTGCCCATGACCTTCATGGATAATTTCAAATGGAAGCTTGAAACATCTAAGGCAAATATACAGAGAACTGAACTTGTACTCATGAAACTTGAATTCAAAACCTTTGCAGAAATATTTACAATACATGCATAAAAATGATTTGAGACGAACCCAGTGGGAGCAGCCTAAATCCCAGTGTTTCTCCTCTTTTTGGATTTGAGCGCAAGCTTTTTGAAAGAGAGAAATTACACCATGGCCGTGAACAATTTTAGGCGAAGCTTAATATTGGTCGTACGCACCCATCACAACATTTTTCATCCATAATCTCCTCACTAAACACTAATTCATGCTTATGACTGAGATGCTTTATGTTCTCTCCTAGCACAACACAACAAGAGGAAGAAGCCTCATTTTCTAACTCAATTACAGTATAGTCTCTTTTTGTTGCACAATGCGCATGAAAAATGTAATTGCAATCCAAATCCAAACCGTAGTAACTCTGTACTCTGCCTTGACTTGTTTGCAACAAATTCTGCATTTCCTCTTTTCAGACTCCTTTTCTCCACTGAAATAGGTGTGGCAAATTCGATGATCATGCACTGAGATTTTGATGGTTTGTGGTAGGGAAATGCATTTCTGATGGACCATGAGATTGCATGTAAGACATAAATAGCGAGCATGACCATCCTCCTCACCGCATGCATCACAAGTGGAGGGACATTCCCTCCAGAATAGGATGAACAGATAGGGGTGGTTTTTGTTTTTAACGGTGGGAGGGGTTGAGGCACATTCATTATGAATATAAAACTTGGAAGAAAAACATACATAAACAATATTTAATTTTGCCCAAAAGAAAAAGGAAAAGATTTTAGACACAAGTTACTGTCTGCAAATACTATTTTGCCAATTTGAAGAGTAAGATGGTGTCGACGGTGGGAAGAATGGTTAATCTTAGGCCGTAACTCTGACATTTTTTATGAATGCAAAACCCACACCTAAGACAACTGTAAATAGAATCTGATAATTAATTTAAGCAAGCACCACATGTAATTTGACTGAGTTCATTGTTATGCTTTTCGATGAAGATGAGTTGATGGATGTGTAGGTGGCTAAAATGATAAAGTTTTGGAAGATTTGTTTCATCAAAATCAGTGAATTGTGACAGCAAACAGAGCACATTGGATATGAAAGATGAATTGACACTAAAAGCAGTGATAAGCAAACAATTGGTCAATAGATCTTTGACAAAAACACAACATGATGGTTGGTTTGGTAGAAACAATGAAATGGGGCTTGTCATTGAAGCAATGGAAAGGGTGATTTATTTCATGTAGCATGTCGTTGAAGCAGTGGAATGGGTGATTAATTTCACGCGGAATCTCTGCACATTTTTTTATCAAGGTAAATCTTACAATCAAATGGAATCCTGAGACGGTAGATTGCATTGGATTATTTCGTTACAACAGCTCAACCAAAGGACCCCTATAAAAACAAAGCAATACTATTTCATTGGATTATTGGAAGAATACCAGAGGGCTTCAAAATGGGATTTTCTAATTTGGGATTGTTCTTTATACTGTTCGTACTTCAATCTGATCATCTTCCAGCAAGCTCTATGGTAGTAGGTACTAATTTCTATCTCTTTTATCTTAAAATATTCTTAATTTTAGTTTGTTTTAGAGCAAACAAACTGGTGTTTTTAATTGTAGACTTAAATCAAGAAAAACATCTTGGGACCGAAGGGAGTTTTAAGCATGAAAAAACAGCAGCGAATAGGCTAGCAACATGTGGAGGTGGAGGTGGAGGTTGAGGTGGCCTAGGCTGTGTTGGTGGTGTAGATAATTGGTAGTAAATCCGACCATTACTCCTAGAATCATACCATGGTTGTATGAATGACTGGTGGAGGATCCGCTAGTTACTCCTGGAATCATGACTGGTGGATCTAATCATCCATTCCGCATGGTATGATTTCAGGAGTAACTGGTGGATTTATAGCCAATTATCTACACCACCACCATGGCCAACCTATTGCTAGCCTGTTCACCACTGTTATTTCATGCTTTAAAACACCTTTGGTCCCAAGATGTTTTTTTTTTTTATATTTAAGTTTACAGTAAAAAAAAAAAAAACAGTTTATTTGCTTCAAAGCAAACTAAAATCAAAAATATTTTAAGAAAGATAAAAGAGATAGAAATTAGTACCTGCTACCAAAGGGCTTCTGGAAGATGATCAAATGAAGTAACAGCAATATAGAGAACAATCCTAGATTAGAAAATCCCATTTTGAAGTCCTCTGCTATTCTTCCAATAATCCAATGGAATAGTATTTTGCTTTGCTTTTATAGCAGTCCTTTGGTTGAGCTGTTGTAAAGAAATAATCCAAAGCAGTTGAACCAATCAGTGAAAATTCTCCACAAGCGGATGCTGAAACGGCGCTTGCACTCATCAAATCCATAGATTCTGTTGATAGAAGCACATTCATGGTTCACTCGGAGAAGGAAAAGTTATCCGGGTACTTAATCTTGTAAGCAAGAAGCAGACATATAGTCTCTATGGTTTGCTTTCCTCTGTCCACATTCTCCAAGAAACAGGTAATTTGCATTTGGTGGAATTTACCATACTCAACAGGCGCAAAAGGTCTGGATATTGGCATGTATATCGCCTGCAAACACAAAATTGATGCACCTAACAGTTGAGTAGCATAAATATGTTCACATCAAACTAACACACTGAGATTTCTATATAATTTTTCCCTTACCTACAATGTAGGAGGACAGACTACATAGCCATGGTAATGGAATGCAGGGTTTTTTGGTTTCATGTGGGTGGGGAAAAAGGGTAAAGTTTTAAGGAAAGATGAAATGGAAGGAAAAGAATGTTGGGAATTTAAAGATGGAAATTGCAAAAGAATCGTGGGAGTTAGAGATAAAATTGG